CCAGGGAGAGACGCCCCCGCCCGTCTCCCGCGGGCCCCGTCAACGCCGTTCCCGCGGCCCTGTCACAGGCGTCAACACGCGGCCGTCTCCCCAACACTTCCGCGCCGCCTCTCCAGCCCACCCTGCGTGCGACGGGAGGTTCCCCGGGGGCTGCCAGGCCGGGCCCGAGAAAGCGAACGACCGGGTTGAGCTGAGCGACTGTGACACCCGGGGGACCCGGGAGATGGTTCGCGTAACAGCAGCGGACAGGTCTCCCCCTCCCGCCGCCTGTCGCGCCGTGCCATGTCCTCTCCCCCTGCCGCCGCCCCTACAGAGTTGGGGGCTGTGTGCATGCCGGCGCTCACAGGACGGATCTCCTGGGAGGGCTTGTTCGGGCGGGCGTGACAGGCGACGAAATGAAGGGCCCTGAAGGATCCCACGGTGAAGGGGTTTGTGAACAATCGGCGCACGAAACGCAACCCTTCGTGAGCCCGAGAAGGCAGCTGAGCAAAGCCCTGGCCAGCAGCCCCGGGGTTCCTCTCTCTGCAGCAGATGGAGTCCTCCGTCAGTCACCGTGGCAACGACCCTGGCACCCTGAAACCCACGGGTGATCCTGTTCGTCTAGGTCGTGGGGAGTCCAGCAGCTGAACCTGCTCCTCTGGCCCTGGCAGGGATCACTCATGAGAGCGATGACAGGCCCCGGCCCACTGCCCGAGCCTCCCATTGACTTCCACAGATGCTGGAGTCAGCCCCTTAATAATCTTATTGAAGGGACCGATGATCCCACCGCTGACACCAGCACTCTCTGGGACCTAGGTCACATCATTTCCCCTTTCTGCCTTATCTTCCCTTCTCTGCAAACTGCGGAAACTAACCCCCTGCCCACAGCAGGACAAGGCAACGACATTGTCCCCACTCAGCAGATGGGGGAGTCAAGTCCCAGAAAGGCAAACTCATGCTTAGGGGCTACTACAGTCCTGCAAACAGCCATGCAGACCTTTGGGCTCAGGCTCAGAAGCCTGGGGGCTCGTCGACATGGCTATTTTTAGGGCCACATCATGAGCCCGAGTCTGCATAGCTGGGCTCTGACATTCCCTGCTGTGGACAGGTCAAGGGTCTGCCCATGGGGCGCAGGAGCTGGAGACACGCAGCAGGACAGAGACGGGAGAAAACAGTCCTGCAAACAGCCATGCAGACCTTTGGGCTCAGGCTCAGAAGCCTGGGGGCTCGTCGACATGGCTATTTTTAGGGCCACATCATGAGCCCGAGTCTGCATAGCTGGGCTCTGACATTCCCTGCTGTGGACAGGTCAAGGGTCTGCCCATGGGGCGCAGGAGCTGGAGACACGCAGCAGGACAGAGACGGGAGAAACGAGGCTTCTGTGGGCTCATTCTGAAGATGAAAATGAAAGAGACCCACCAATAATAAATAGTCATCACCGCTAGGCAGAGTTGCCGCTCTGCGTGGCCATGCAAAAAATTCTTCCCCCGCCCACCTCCTCTGGCATAATGAGGGAGCCGCTGGGGCGAGGTGCTATTTTAGAAGAAAAAAAGAAAAGACACCCGCCAAAAATAAATAGTCATCACCGCTAGGCAGAGTTGCCGCTCTGCGTGGCCATGCAAAAAATTCTCCTCTCCCCCTGCCGCCGCCCCTACATGAGGGAGCCGCTGGGGCGGGGGGCCGGGACCTGCCGTGGCCACGTGGCTGGGGCTGTCACGTGGCAGGGGGGCCGGGGCTTGTTCTAGCGGCTGGGCTGGGAATGGGGCCTGCCGCATGGCGGGGGGGGAGGGTTCTGCTCCGGTGGCCGGGAACGTGTGTGAGTTAATACACTGGGTGCCACGGTGGCCCACCTCCGAACCAGCACCCGTGACCTCGATATTGGTGCACCAGCCAAAACTCACTCCACCCGTGGTTAGAAAATCTTAGAGGGAACACGGCCCCTAGGTCTTCTCATCCCTGCATCTCCAAGCCCTTTACAGAGAAGGTCAGTGGAGCCCGGCATGGATATAAAATGTTGTGTCCACCTCCACGAAAAGGTCAGGTGTGATTATCGGGCCTAGCGTCCAGTCTAATATAGTCCACAGGACTTCTCCCAAGTCCCAAGTTCTCCCACCACTAGGCAATGCTGCACTGGAAGGCGAGGTGAGGTGGAGGGGGGATTTCTAGCTTGCCATCACTTCATCCTCTCTCCCTGTGGCCCAAACGGCAGGTGAACGCGTCACGGATCCAGAGAGCAGTGGTGAGACCCTGCTGTGGCCCCTCTCTTCTGCTGCCTCCCAAAGCAAAACCAAAAAACCCCCTCATTCAGCCTGCAAGCGCCCCAAACCCTGCTGGGGTGGGTGTGGTGTTGGCAACAGCCGGTGAGCTGGTCAGAAAAAGCTCTGCCGTGTAAGTCACCTCCCTTCCTCCAAAATAACCTTCTGCCCCTAAGAGATCAAAGCGTGGAAACTTTTTTCTCCAGCTCAGTCACTAGCAACGCAACAAAAACAAAAGGCACCCGGGCAGGGCAAAGCGAGACGCTTACACACACCCTGGCCACTGCCCGGCCGGCTGGGGCATCACATAGCCGCCGGGCCCGTGCCCGGGATTCGGGCCTGGCAAACGTCAGCGCCGAACGGATCCGGTTCCAGTAAGGGGAGGTGACGGCCGGGGCGAGAGAGGGGTAAGGTGGCGGGGGCGGCGGAGGAGTTGTGTGAGCTTGTGCTTCTGAAGACAGGAAAAGCGAGTGTTCCCCCGCCCCCCCCGGGGTGTGTGGCTGCAGGCGGGTTAAGAAACGTGCGCACAAAGCGCAGGTTTATTTTAGAAGCAAGAACCAACCAACCAAAACAAAAAAAATTCCCCCCACGACCTAACCAAGGTGACCGAGCCCTCGGGGGCCCGTTCGCTGCAGGCGGCTCAGGAAAGGCTTGTGGTTCTTGAGCCCACCCCTCCAGCGCCTGCTCGGGGGCGCCACGCCTTCCGCGGCCAGCGGGCCGGGCCCAGAAGCTGGGCAACGAGGGAGTTGTGCACCGTCCTCCTCCGGCTTTCTGCAGGAGCGGAGGGTGGCGAGAGGTGAGCCCCGCCTGGGAGAGGGCCCCAAAGCCCCCAAGGCCTGGATCCGGGATATGCAGCCTAACATTGCAGAAAGAAACATCGCCTCCTCCCCACCTTCCTCCTTCTTGCACCCCTGGCTCCCTGCTGGGCCTCTGTCCAGACAGGCTCTCCCTGCTGGCCCACGCGTCCCTCCAGAACACCCTCCCCGACTTGGGCTCTGATCCGTCTCCGCCCCGTCCCTGTAAGCCGGGCGCTTGGGCAGCCCCTCAGGAGAGATTCTGATTTGCAGAGTGCCCCCAGCTGGGTTTGCGTTGTTCTGTGTGGTGCACA